AGCTTATAATCCAGTAGGGAAGACAGATATAAATTATTTACAAATGCTCATGTAATGGCAGTGGTGACATATGCTGCCACAGCCCAACATCACACACCAGTTTCTTTGTCAGCACTTGTGTACCTGCAAATATCTGCTTGTCCTTCAAACCTAAGTTCACAGGCCACCTCATTTATGCCACCTTTCTGATGCCACACCCACATGACGGGGTGCCCCTTTGTGCCCACAATAGTCCTTGGGTATAACTGCTCTTCACAAAGGCTGAGACCAGGCCATATTCACTTTGGAGCCCCCTGCCTGGCAGAGTCCAGCCCAGATGAGGTGCTAATGGATAAATGAAAGACCCTGCCAAGATTGATCCAGCCTGTGAACACCTCCAGGGTCCAAGAATTCACTGCTTGCTTGCTTACTTTTTTTTTTTTAGATAGCCTTTTGTTTCTTTTTCTTATTAAAAAAAGGTATTTAGGTTAGGGCACAAGAATGTAAATATAGTTAATACTGAGCTGTACACTTTAAAATGGTTAAGATGGTAAATTTTATGTTATGTATATTTTATCACAATTTTTTAAAAGTGCAAAAAATACAAAAAAGAAAAAATGGAGAAGTTCCATATTATCAAGAAATAAAGGACAGAAAATCTGATTCAGATAGAATTAGATTTTTTTAAAAAGTAATTTGGATTAGGGAGTTGCAAATCAGAACCACAATAAGATAACACTTCACACCCTTTAGGATGGCTGTTATTAAAAAACAAAGCAAAACAAAACAAAAAAAAACCCAGAAAATAGTTAAGTGTTGGCAAGGATGTGGAAAAATGGGAACCTTGTGCATTGCTGGTGGGAACATAAAATGGTGCAGCCACTTTGGAAAACAGATGGCAGTTCCTCAAACAATTAATTATCATGTGATCCAGCAATTCCAATTCTAGGAACATATCCAAAAGAATTGAAAACAAGGATTCAAAGAGATATTTATATACCAATGTTTGAAGCAGTATTATTCACAATAGCCAAAAGGCAGAAACAACCCAAATGTCAGATTAATGGATAAATGAAATGTGGTATATGCATACAATGGAATATTATTCAGCTGCAAAAAGGAATGAAATTCTGAAACATGCTACAACATGGATGAACCTTGAAAACAGTATATTAAATGAAATAAGCCAGACACAGAAAGACAGATATTGTATGATTCCACTTATATGAGGTACCTAGAGTAGTCGAATTCATAGAGACAGAAAATAGAATGGTGGTTCTATGTCAGGGGCTGGAAAGAGGGGAGAACAGCGAGTTACTGTTTAATGAGTACAGAGTTTCAGTTTGGGAAGATGAAAAGTGCTAGAGATGGTGCTGCTGACTGCACGACCATGTGAATGATGCTGTACACTTAAAAATGGTTAAAATGGCAAATTTTATGAATATTTTACCATAATAAAAAAGTAATTGGGGCGTATTAGTGAGATTTTAGAAAATATTGGTAAGCACAAGAGGAAAAAATTAAAATCATTCACAGTCACCAAGAGTCAGCCACTGTTTAAGATTTCATTGTGTATTTTTCCATTCTTGTTCTCCCTCTCAAAATGTGTGTGTGTGTGTCTTCAGAGGCCTTGCACTGGGCTCTCTTCACACTGGACTTCCAGGAAGAGCCCTTCACATCTATTGTTCCAAGGTGCTTCCTCCCTTGGAGCCATCCAGAGTAGGTCTGTCCCTTATCTGGACAGCAATCCTTTGAACGATTTCTCATGGCCGATTTCACTACCCTGTTGTGGAATATTCTTAAAGCAAATGTACTTCACAGGGCCTGGTTTTCCAAAACGAAGCCTTGCAGTTTCAAATATTGACCTTGTGGAGGACTGGAAATTTTCCTCAGGCTACAAAGTCTCTGTTGTAAGATAAAGATTTGTGGCACAGCAAGGTTGCTGGCTCAAGGACAGACAAGTTACTGATTGATATGTGTAGATACTGGAAAATTTCTGGAGGGAGAAGGAATGTTTGCTAAAATCAAGCTTTTGTTGATAGGACCACTTAATTGCCTTACTGGAATGTCATCTGGCTTGTTTCACTGAAAGTTACCAGCCTATATTGTTAAACTAATAACCCCACCTATGTTCTCTTCTTGTAATTTCCTGGTCAGGAAGATAAATGCAGGACGAGAACCCCAATTCGGGGTTAATTTCCCAACGAAGGGATGCCTCTCGCTTGAGCGTTCCCAAGGGAAATTGACCACTTTGGAGCTTCTCACTGCTCAGAAGAGATGAGCTTTGAGTAATCCTTTGCATCTCCATCACCCATGGGAAGTGGGGTGACAAATCTGTGGGGGGCGAAGCAACACAAAACAATACCCTGTACCTCCAGGGTTGCACTTCTTTGAAAATGCCCATTTCTTTTATGTGTCTAAAAATGTGGTACCCAGAGGAGGCCCAGAAATATGTCAGAAGGGGCTGGGGAAAAAAGTGAGTGTCTCTCACACTTTCTTGGATACTGCACATCTGAGCTATGGCCACATGAGCATGGCAGCTCTCTGGACTCCCAAAGTCTGTTGCTCCAGGCTGTGCTAATCTCAGGTCTTTCCCCTCCCACTGGGTCCCTTTGCTTCTTGGACCTGGGGCTGGGCCTCACATTATCCCTGTTGATTCTATCTCTTAGATCCTGCTTCTCCAGCCTGTTAGAAGGCTGTGACCTTATGCCCCAGAGAGCAGATCAGCCCTCTCCACTGAGAGGGCTTGGAAAGGAATGAGGGCCCCACCACCTCTGAACCCTGCTGGGCCCTGGGGAGGAGCAGGTGCTTCCTCTATTCCTCCTAGGAGAAATGTGCCTCCTCCTTGTCTCAGACACACCCCTGCCCTGTGGAGCAGCAAGTCAGCCACCAGAAGTAGTGGCTCCCTTCATACAGGACCTCTGTGGGTCCTGGGAGCTTTCCTGCCTCCACTGCCATAGTCCTGGCCCCACAGCCTTACAACAGCTGTCACATCCTGTGCAGGTACCCCCAGGCGCCCACATTTGTGCCCAGCTACAGCCTCCTTCCCCAGCTTTGCCACCAATCCAGGAGCCAGGGCATCGCCAGCCTCATTGGTAGGGAGAGGTGAAGC